TTAAAATTTTTTAAAAAAAAAAAAAAAAAAAAAAAAAAAAAAAAAAAAAAGAAGTTCTATTAGTGCCACAAGGAGTTGCTCATAAGCATTCTGATGCTTCTGTTGTGAGTCTTAACTACTTAATATATTTCTTTTGTTTATAGTAAACTAGGCTTGCGGGTTCGGGTAATTCGGTTTTGGGTTAGTTTGATTCATTATAAATTTTGTCAAATTATTCTGAACTTGTAATTTGGTTTTTGAAAATCATACCGAAGTTTTTGGTTTCAGCTATATTCTGGTTTAATTTTGTTAAATTTTTGGATAAGTTGGGTTAGTTTTGGTTTAATTCGGTTAGTTTGCTGAGTTCGGTTTAGATTTTTGGTAGGGTTTGATTATAATTTTTTTAGGTTTATATAAAAAAAAGTAACGGATTACCGAACCAAATTAACTGAAAACCTAACTTTTTTTAACAAACCTACCGAATCGAACTAAACTAACCAAAAGTTTCGGTTCAACTCGATCCAGCGGGTTCAGTTCAAAATCCCAGTCCTAGTAAACGTTACAAGTCTTTGTGTGATTTCAATAGCTTAAACTGATGAATAGCAGTCCAGCACCAACACGTGGGTGCTCGGAACAAGCCTAGACCAGCTCCGGTTAGTACTAATCAGAGACCAACTGCTCATGCTGCAGCAACCGAGGCTTCACGTGTAGAGAATGTTTCAAACAGTAGCAATGTTGATGTGGAAGGTCTGAAGATTCTTTTCATCTTGCTGTTTGAGTATTGCACACACAATCACTAGGTTATTGATTTTTTTTCTGCTTGTTATTACAGATGATGGTCATTCAATTTATGTCCAAAAGTTACCTTTTCGACACTACACCAACACAACTTGAAGAGGTGTTCAAGAATTATGGTGCTATTAAGCTTATCGGATTTAGGACAGAAAGGGTAAATATATAGAACACATAGATGAGAACCATAAGAGATTGAGATAGAGAATAAGAAGAAGGCCGATCGAGAGAGAGATTAAGATATTTCCTTGATTGATAATTAGATAAAGTTTCTAATACAATACTCTCGATACTTATAGCATAAAACAACATTAAGCTTCTAATTTAATAATGGATCTAATCCCATAAGCCAGCCCAATTACCATACTAATCAGAAATCAGGAACCATGCATCAACTTTTGTTACTCTCAACTGATTTGCTTGCTTCAGAGTTAGGATGTGATGAAAGACAACACAAACTCCCAAATCTCGTGCATAAATTCATTAGACTTGTGTGCAAAGCAAATCTAGATTTTCCCGAGATATGAGACTTGTGATGATCCCTGGCTGAGGAAGGATGCATCTAAGATAATTCGCCTCGTCTTTGGATTGATAGATCAGTTTATCAGTTATCACTCTTGTTCTTGACGAGAGTCTTGCTGGACAAGAGGTGTTCTTCGTCAATCCAGTTAAATGTTTCATTTGCATGAGGACTCTTGGTAAGGTCAATGTTTTTGCATGACTCTATGGAGGCAACAGCTCTCAGTTTGGTGTTGGTGCTTTGGTAGATTTTGCAGATGACACTGATGTTGGCATGTTGCCAAAAGAGCTTGAAGAAACTAGCACATAAATGTTGTCAAGACTTTGTCTTATTCATATTTATTTCATAACAGTCTTAGCTATTCTACAGCTTTTTTCATAAACGAAACACTTGTATCTAGAAACAATCCGCTAATCTTGAAAATAAATATTGTAGCTTGAGATTGTTTCTTAAGGTATACACTGAGTTCAAACGCCAAACTGTAATGTGGCCTAATCTTATAGATTCGGCTCTGCTTCTTCCATGAGAGAAATAGCATCTTCTGAGCATTCAACACAACAGGAGATCCTTGTTTTGTTTTCTCAGCAATCTGCTTTTATCAGTTGCTTCTCCACTTCACTCTCATAGTCACTGCTTTCTTCATCTTAGCAGCTCCTGCTCCTGAACCTTGGAGTCGTCCTGATGATGACTCTTGTTTATTTTCATCAACTAATTAAACGCATCACCTCCTCCACCTGTTGAGTTTATAACCAGGGGCTGCATCTCAGCAAGACCAGTCTTTCTGCTGGCCATGACTTCTTCCTGCTCCCTGATTCCATTACCAGCTGCTCCACCTTGCTTTGGCTCTCTTTGAGTACTCAAGACGCCAATTCTTTAGGTGAGACAGCATAGTTTACTGACTCAGGCGTGGAGTTACCCACTTGGTTCTTGGTTGGACTCAGTTTCAACTAAAAAATTCTCTCTATGTTAAAAGTGTAGCAACAGACCTCAATCATATCAGAGAGTTTTGTCTCAGTATTAGAGCCTTCCAAGCTCAGCTTCAATATTACTTATTAGTTTCTGAATTTCTAAATCTGATTTCTTTTTAATCTTCACTGGAGGGAAAGTGAGAGAAACTTAACAGTCTCAAGTCTCTCAGTCAATACCAGTCTGATATTTTACTACAACCATAATGGTGTAGTGTGGAGTTTGTAGTTGAGACACTAAACCTCAAAAACAAGTAACGTGACTACTTGACTTCGCTGGCCTTCTTGAGAAGCTCGCTGTGCAAGTTCAGATCGATTTGGACTTCCCTCAGTTCACTGCGAACTTTCGCCAGATGCTCAGCACCCTCCTTCACCTCTTCTGCATATCTGTCTCGTGAGATTTGAAGGCGCAACTTCTCGCTAGCCTCCTTCTGAAGTTCATCTCCAAACTTAATGACCTGATCCTCCACCAACTTCTTCTCTTCGCTGGCCTTCTTGAAAAGCTCACGGTGGAAATCAAGGTCGATCTTGACCTCCCTCAGTTCGCTGGAAACTTGCGCCAGATGCTCATCAGCCACCTTTGCCTCCGCTGCATATTTGTCCAGGGAGACTTTAAGGCTCAACTTCTCGCTAGCCTCCTTCTCCAGTCCATCTCCAAACTTAATGACATGCTCCTCCGCCAACTTCTTCTCTTCACTGGCCTTCTTGAAAAGCTCACGGTAAAAGTCAAGGTCGATCTTGACCTCCCTCAGTTCGCTACAAACTTGCGCCAGATGCTCATCAGCCACCTTTGCCTCCGCTGCATATTTGTCCAGGGAGACTTTAAGCCGCAACTTATCCTCCCCCTGCAGTTCAGCCACCTTCGTTTCTGCATTCACTGCTCTGGTCTGTAGCGCCTCCTTTTCTTCCAAGGCCACTTCCAAGGAAGCAAGCAAGCTCTCTACTTGCTGCTTAATACTATGGACAGAGGAAGCTATGGTTTTAGCCCCTTTCATCCACATCTAATTAAAAAAAAAAAACTCAAGTCAGTCTCAGAGGATTAAAAACTCAAAAGGGAGAAATGAGAGAAGAAGTAGCAGCTTACTTCCATACACTGAGACTCACGGTGAATGTGCAGTAGGCGTTCATTACAGTTTGTCTACATGAAAGAAAAAAGAAGTTAGAAGTAGAAGCAACAAGTCAAAGAAGCAACGGGAAAGGTGCTTAACAGGAAAAGGAGCTTCCGGCTTCCACGTTAATTTATCTGAAAGTGAAGGCCAATATGGGCATAGCCTCTTGCGTACCTGAAACCCAATATGAGTCTCTCTTTATCAACTTGTGACATATAAAGTAAAGAGAGAAAGAGACATACCGCTTGTACTAGACGACGTGTAGAGTCCAATGTGTATTCTTCAATGGAAGATTGAAATAGTTTGCCTTCAAGCAAAACATGGACACACCAGAGTGAAGACTCTGCAACAGACTCAAGATTGTAACCTCCCTCTAATGCCATTACAATCTTTCCTTGTGCAAACTCCATCAGCTGAGAGAAGAAAAAAAAGTATATATTGAAGATTATTATGTAGCTCAGAGTTAAAGAACAAAGCCAAACAAATCAGTACACTATAAACACAAACCTTTTTCAACATAACTGAATAACCATATAGTGTAACTGAACAACCCCCAAGCGGATCACCAATAGCTGTGTGTGTTAAGAGTAAGTTAAGAAGGTTAACTACACTTTTCTTTAAATGAAAAACAAAAACAAAAAGCATAAATAAAAAAATACCTGCATCAAATCCAGCTGAAAGCAAAATGATATCAGGATTAAACTCCTTAGTCACAGGAATCAAGATATGGTCCCATACAGCAATATAATCTGCATCTCTGCATCCTCCTTGCTCCCATGGAACGTTTATGTTAAAACCTTCCCCTGCTCCTTCTCCAACCTTGTCATAATCTCCATCATCTCCCGTTGGATAGAACCTTCCACCATCATGCCTAGCCACAAATGCATTTCCAATTACTTTCCAACCATAAATCTGAACAAAGGGTCACAAACACATTACCTATGAACAGAGAAAACTAGTACACGAGGGTCTTTCCAGAACATCTTCTGTGTACCGTTTCCATGATGAACATCCCAATCAACAATCAGAATCTTCTTGATACCTAGATCCTTCTGCATTTAAGAAAACAAAGCAAAATAGCTTGGCAACACACACACACACAGAACAAAAGATATTAAAAGTCAATAACACAAGTCTCCTTACTCTTTGGTTTAGTAAGTAGCTGGCAGCAACAGCGACATTGTTGAACAAACAAAACCCCATGGCTTCATCTTCCTCAGCATGGTGCCCTGGTGGCCTTACAATAGCAAAGCCACTATCTAACTCTCCTTCTGCTACTTTCTCTGCCACCTGTTATTAAGTAAATACTGTTAAATAATGTAAAAGAGAGACAACAAGTCTTTTATAGTATTACCTCTACAACAGAACCAGCTGCAAGATATGCAGCTTCAGATGAGCCTCCATTGAGATAAATCGAATCAAACTCTGAAGCAATCTTGTTTCTTTTTGAATCTTTCTTCTTTGTGCTTAAACTCTTAACTAAATTAACATGTTTCTTTGTGTGAACCAGTTGAAGTTGCTTATCTTCCGCTTTGCTACCACTAAGAACCACACATCTACAAAAAAGGAAAGGCCAAAAACTTTAATAGAAACAACAAGAAGCAGCAAATGCAAGCACGAGAGGAGAGAAAAAGGAGTAACCTTTGAGCGAGACCAGAGAGGTGAAGCACCTCCCAGATATATTTGATGCGATCAGGACACTCGGGATGGTCTTCACCGTCAGGTGTGTCGTGTTTGCACATCCTCTCGTCGTATAAAAGTCCCACCTTTCTCCTTCTTTTCTCGGAAGATTCGCCGGCCGTTGTCATCTCAGGGAACTGATGTCTGAAGCTTACGGTTTGCTGACGACAAGACAGGAAAGAGATGAAGCTTAAGGGTTTACTTACTACTTATGTCTGAAGCTTCATTTAAATTTATTTTTCGATTTTCTTTTTTTTCTGTTTGGAGGGAAAGTGAGAAACCTAGCTTATTAACCAATTAAAATCCGACACGTCACTTTTTACTAAACCAGTTACATAATCAACCGGTTGAACCGGAGAAATCAATTTAAAAATTGGTGAAACTAAACCCAATTTTCTGCCAATGCCCAAACTGTAAGTCAATGATGTACTTTAAGATCTCTGGTTACTTAACAAGTAAACATTGTTTGGTTACAACATTTTAGTAGTCTGTGGTTCCCAACAGATGTCACATCAACACTCAAAAGATCTGTCAAAATTCTCTCAAGAGGTTAAAAATGTTAAACCGAGATATGTACCTCTCTATCTAATCTAGCTGCTCACTGTGACTGTACTTCAAAGCTGAGAGATGATTATCTATAGCTGCAAGATGGTCTTTGTGATTCTGCAATTGGCTGGAGATTTAGCCACGGAGTCTGGTCTTCAGTGTCAATGTCCATGTCAACAACATTTGCATCATCAAGATTCTTATCAGTTCGTGGAACATGTGATTGTGAGTTTTTGTTACCGAGAAAGAAACCCCAAAGATAGTTTTCTGTTTTTTTCTGCTTCTTGATGAAAACTGCAAACACAACACATATGGTTATTCTTAAGGCTATTGAGAAACCATGGATACAACATGAATCAGGAGAAATAAAGTAGGCATATACATACACTGGGAGGTCTTGTCCAATAGTTTTGAGGAGAATATCAACAACTGTGTGCCGTTTACACTAGCTTTGATCATGGCATTGCGAGTAACCATGGCCTCAAACAGATGAGCATGTTCCCGTTTAGACCTAAACAGAAAGAGTGTATACATAACATAACCTGATTGGATAAGTCTTCTGATAACAGTCAAGAACAAGAATAAGAAGCTTTTGAGTACCTTTCTGTTTCCTTCTCATGTGAGAAAAAGTATAATTCCACATCCGAGAGCCTTGGGGTTCTGCCAAACAAAGCATTCAGAATATGGCCTGTAGGATCTAGTTCCACCTCGAGAAATATAGGCATCGCCTTTGAAAGTCTCAGTGCCTTCTTGCTGATACATGATGCTGGATTAGCACAAAACTGGCAGTCAAACTCAGGAAAAAGCATGGCAGAGTCCACAATGCGTCCCCTGGCACAGTTGTTAAGTTAAAAAGTTTGTCATATACATTATAGCATACCTTATGTGAACAAAAAGATATAACGTTCCTGTAGATACTGTACAACTGGTAAGAGTAATGGCAGCTAAACACATGTGTAGTTTAAAAGACCATTTGGAGAAGTAAACTCACTTCCAAGTAGGGAGCAAAGCTGGTCGATACAGAAGTAACTCTGAGATCCTTTCATCAGAGGTTGATCCACATGTCTCCTTGGAACCATTATCTTTAGCTTTATCAGCAACTTCCACAACTGTCTTCAGAGAAGACATGTTTATGATATTTGGCTTTCAGAAGAAGACGCAAAAGATATTACCTTGTATTGTATGTGTTGTTGCATCAGTAGTAGCTTGCTGCTGAACATTTGAAGGAATCTGCAAAGCACTTGGACTAGGAGGAAGCTCCACCGTCTTAGGTTGATGAAGAATTCTTGTATTGGTTCTCCATTTCACTGTTGCTGTGTTCATACTCGAAGCAGCTGGAAGACCACAAACAATTTCTTTTCTGAAACCTTCTGCTGGACGAACCGGGACAGGTCTTGGTGGTTTAGAATTGGGACGAGGTGGGGCAGGTCTTGGTGGTTTAGAAGTTGGAACAGCGGAGAATTGTCTTGGTTCTTCAAAAGTAGCACGAGAAGGCTCACGTCTTTGTGATTCAAAAGTTGCACGAGAAGGCTCACGTCTTTGTGACTCAAATGTTGCACGAGAAGGCTCACGTCTCTGTGACTCAAATGTTGCAGGAAGATGCTTAGGTCTTTGTGATTCAAAAGCAGCACGAGAAGGCTCACGTCTTTGTGAATCAAATGTTGCAGGAACATGCTTAGGTCTTTGTGATTCAAAAGCAGCACGAGAAGGCTCACGTCTTTGTGAATCAAATGTTGCAGGAACATGCTTAGGTCTTTGTGATTCAAAAGCAGCACGAGAAGGCTCACGTCTTTGTGAATCAAATGTTGCAGGAACATGCTTAGGTCTTGATGATTCAAAAGTTGCACGAGCAGGCTCATGTCTTTGTGACTCAAACGCTACAGGAACATGCTTAGGTCTTGATGATTCAAAAGTTGAACGAGCAGGCTCACGTCTTTGTGATTCAAAAGTTTCACGAACAGGCTTAAGTCTTGATTCAAAAGTTGGACGAGCAGGCTTATAAGGTCTTGATGATTCAGAAGGTGGAGGAACAGGCACTTGACTGACACCAGAATGTAGTTTTATAGCTTCCTCTGGTGTGATCAACTTCACCTTTGAAGATCTTGGTACTGGATTCCCTCTAGCAACTGGGTTTGAAGATTCAACTCGGAGTTTACTCCTGCCAGGGACTACTTTTATAGAATCTGAAGGCAGTTTGCTTTGACCAGGAGTCATTGCTCAGTAAATTAGCAACCTGCAACAAAAGAAAACCAAACCCAAAAACTAGTCAAATTCAAGAATCTAGAGAGTTATAATAGTATGTAACTCAACTCTAAGGGGGGCTAAAACATCATCTGATTCAGAAAACCTTCTATTAGCCAACACTATCTATGAAACCCATGTCACAAAATCTAACCTTTCCACCAAACATTAAATAAAACGAACCTATAAAACTAGTCAAAACCAAGAATCCAGAGAGTAATAATCGTGCTAACTACGCATATAACTCAACTCTCAGGGGGTCTGAAACATCTGACACAAGAGTTAGAAGAATCTGATTAACCTTCTATTAGCCAACACTATTTAATGAACCCATGTCACAAAATCTAACCTTTCTACCAAACCTATGTACCAAAGGGCGAAGCAGAGAAGACAAGAAACCAAAACCTAATTCAATAAGAGAGTTATAATCGTCCTGCTACTATGAAACTCAACCCTAAAGGGGTTAAAACAACAGTGACAAACGTTAGGCCAACACTATTTATAAAACCCATGTCACAAAATCTAACCTTTCCACCAAAACCAAGTATAGAACCTATGCACAGGGCGAAGCAGAGAAGGTAAGAAACCAAAACCCTAGAATCTAATTCAATAAGAGAGAGTTATAATTGTCCTGCTACTACAAAACTCAACTCTAAAGGGGTTAAAACAACAGTGAAAAAAGTAAGGCCAACACTATTTATGAAACCCATGTCACAAAATCTAACCTTTCCACCAAAATCTATGCACAGAACGAAACAGAGAAGACAAGAAACCAATAAGATCAAAAACACCAAAGCTAAAAACCCTAGTTCTCAAGTCTGCTGCGTTCTGGTTCTTGAACATAGCGTAAAGGGCAGAGAAATGTAAAGGGTCTCACTTTCTACTTTCTCTCCACTGCTTAACCTAATTGAGATTCAGAACAAACCCTAACGAACACACACACATTGTCAGTTAACGGCAAATGCAGATACACCAGAGAACAGAATCAAGCAATTTTCTCTTTATTTCGAAAATGAGAAGAAAGTAATTTCGGAAAATCTTTAAACTTTGTTGTTGCTTGCGTTGTACGGAACAGGAAGAGAAGAAAATGATTAAACAAACAAACAAAGTTTCAAGAAAATCACTACGAAGAAAAAAAACAGAGTAAATGGTGACAAAGATTGTGACTTTAGAAGCGAAACGATTCGGATTCATACGGTGAAACTCAGAAGGCAAAGGAGAGAGTGTTTAATGTTGAAAAGAGAAGAGAAACTGTAGAGAGAGGGAGGAAGTGGACTGGTGAGGAGGTGGGGAGTTGTGTAGTGAGAGAGAGGGGGAAACAGAGAAGACGACAATTTATTAAAGAATAATAAATTGCATTATAGTCCTTATCGTTTATTTAAATAAAGAACTAACCCCTCGTATTTGTATAAGTATTAAAAGTTCCATCTGATTTTTGTTAAGCTTAGCTTAAAAAAGCCCGCGGTAACGATGTTGTTACCAAATTTCTCAGTATTTTTTGACTTTTTGGGCGATTTTGTTATTTTGGTCTTTAACTAAAGAAACTAGATTTTGACCCGCCCTTTAAAGGGCGGGTATATTTTTGTTTTATATTTTTTTACTTTTTATTTAGTTTTGGTCCATATATTTTATATTTTATATTTTTTAGAATTTTATTTCTCATATTTATATTTTTAATCCTATTTGTGTTTTCTTTGTAATCATATTAAAATAATTGGACTAAACCTATGTCAATAAATCATGTATCTATTTTAATAGAATAAATATTAATTATTAATAGCATGTTAATACTATCAGTTAACTATAATAAAAATGATTAATACGGTTCGGTTATATAAAAAGTTGCACCTACGTATATTGCCAATGAATAATTATTAATAAATATAATTGTTGACTACATATTGGAGAGAAGTGGATGACGTCGTGACAAAAAAAAAGGTGAGAAGTGGATGACGACAGTTTTGATGTTAAAGTGAAGGTTACAAAATATATAGATAAGTTATATGCAGTTAGAATTATATTAATTTTTAAAAATAGGTCTAAAGGCAATTAAAGTAATATTCCAGGGTAGAGTGAGGGTAATTGTTAGCAATGTTCCTGTTTTAATAAATTAGATGCCCATAAACGTTTGATAATTGCATTTGTCCAATTAAAAAACTTTTGATGATTGCAAATTTGCTCATGAGATGAGATTAAGGAATTGTCTCTAATGAAAAATTAAAGGCAACAAATTTTATATGCCAATAAATTTTGACTATACATACAATTTAAATGTCTTTCTATATTGAGAGTTTGAGACTATTATTATTGACCGGATTATAGAAACAAATTTTTAGCACGACGATTAAATTTTCTTTGGAATTATGTAAGAGAAAGATATTAAATGTGGTATTACTCTTTTAGTTCAACATATTTTATGATTTATACTTAATTGGCAAACTAGCCTATTTTATCTCATTTGTTTGTAATTTTGGCATTTTAATTTATAATTCTCTTGATCATAAAAAAAACTATAATCCTCAAAATGTGAAAAGTGAAAACTTTCAAAGTAGCAACATTGTAATTTACACATTTATGTAACTCTTCTAACTTCTTTATGAAATAAGTAATGTTTTAAAGATATTTTTGGTTTTGAATTAGATGCCATTTTAGTTTTGAATGTAGAATTAATATTTTTTGTGCTGCATGATTCTTTAAATTGTGCAGTTTGTTTTTTAATTGGTTAAACTATGGTTACTTAAATGATTAATGATGTTTTTATTTAGAAAATATACGAAATTAAATATCTTATGAATCCGTGTGAACAACACATAGAGGGTGTTAGTGCGGTGTGAATTTATAATGATTGCTAAAATTATTTAATTATATTCTTATTGGTTAATAGATTATACGATTCTTAATAAAATTTAATGTTATTGGTTTTATGATTCTTTAATGACTTATAAAGTTCAATATTATTCAAATTGTTTGGTTTTTAATGATTTTATGTTCTATCAACTCTAGTGTTATTGAAACTAAGATTTTAGACAATTTAGCTCATAATACAAAACTTCACAAACCTTACCTATATACTCCAGATTCTTCAAATCCTTGTATTAAAATATTTTGAAAAACTTTTTAAATATGAAAAACTCTTTATAACTCTTTTCAAATTTAATAAATCTTTTGATTTTTAGAATCAATCAATGATTTTTAGAATCAATCAAAGATTTTTAGAATCAATCAACTCTATATGAATTTTATCCCTCAATGATTTTTAGAATCAATTAATGATTTTTAGAATCAATCAACTCTATATGAATTTTATCCCTACTACCCCACCCCCCCCCCCCCCAAAAAAACTCATTTTAGTTTAGTTAGTTCACACAAGTAATAAAAAAAAGTTAACCCAAATAATAAAAAAATGGAGAGAGTATTGAAATTGCAAATAGAGTCCCTCTAAGACTGGGTTTACCAATTGGTCCCCTCAATCCTTGACAAAGGAGACGTAGGTTACTATATTTGGTAAAATCGATTAATGAGTCAGATCTGTTGTCATGAAACCAGCTCTATCATCTCTCTATGTAACAAAACACCTTTAAAATCAATAGTCTTTTTCATCAGAGTCATTGCTTCACAGAGACGTATATGAAAGAGAGGTAATTAAAGAAAACGAGAATATACGTCTAGTGTAGCTCAAAATGATAATCAAAGAAGTGAAATCTCACTTTTTAAGAGTAACTTGTGATCCAAGAAACCAAAAACAAAAGATAAATTGTATCACAGTCAAATAGATGGAATACAAACAAGACATCAAAACCTATGTACTGATCGTTTCTTATAAACCCTATCAACTGAAACGTTTCTTTAAGGGAAGAGACGAACTTTTGAGTTGATCTTCGTTTACGTTTCTCCTTTTCATTTGTTATTGATCCAAAGGTCTTCACTGGCGTCGCCTGAAACGTTGTTCCGATGTGGAAGATGCAGTTTTTTTTTATAGAGAATACACTGACACCAATTCCTAAACCTTAAATCTTGATTATAAAGACGTTGTTAAATAAATAAATAAATGTTGACAAAAAATAATTAAAATTGATTCTTCTAAATCTTTATTTCTTTGACTCCTGGGTATTTTTAAGCTTAGCTAATTATTAATTTATCTAACCTTTTCATACTTTTATTTAATTTTAATAATTATATGTATTTCACATTTTCAAGAATCAGTGTTAGTCGTATGCGGAACTAGGTGTTTTGCCCGCACGTGCGGGCTTAATAATTTTACTAATATCTATAAATAAATATACAATCAATTAGGTATCATTAAAATAAGTTAATATACATACACTCAAAATATTTAATTAAAAAAACAAATTCTTTCTATATATAACATTTTTCATCATAATATAAATAATTTTCATTGCATAAATTAAATTTGAAAATACTCATATCGGTTTGTTTTAGACATGACAAAAAAAATTCAACATTATAATTATCTTTTATCACGTAAAATTAATTTGAAATACTTATGCATACATAAATTATATAGAAAATATATATAGGGATTAATAAAAAAAGATGTACAATAATATTTGGATAACACAATATAAATTATTTTTATATATAATTAGTTATATATTAACAAATATATTATTTTTCAGGATTGATAACAACTTTGTTACATAATAAAAAAAATAGATAAGGATAATTATCAAATTAATGAAATTCGGTTTTAATTTAGAATTAATTATATATTAACAAATATAATTATTTACAAAGTTAATAAAGATTTTTAACACAATATAAAATATTTTAAGATAAGGATAATTATTAAATCATTGAAATTCGTTTTTATTTATAGTTAATTATATATTGAATTTTTGTAATTATTCATTAAGGGTATAAACGATATTAACCGCTCTAACTTTTAACGTGAGAGCTCCGTTGCGAAAAATCACTTCACAAATAATAGTATAGATATCTATACTACTGTTTGTGAAGCGATTTTTTCGATCTTCTATACTATTATTTACAAAATGATTTTCCTCTCCGAACTTTCACGTTAAAAATTCTTAATGAATAGCTAGATTAAATTAATAATTATAAATTAAAATAATAAAAAGTGGCCAACAAGTATAAACAAAAACTAAAATAATTAGTTAAATAAATTTTTTTAAATTAAATTAGTTTATTGACTATAAATTAATTTAATAAAAGTGGAAAAATAAAAGTGAATTTAAAATTTATTAGATTAGATGATTGATTAAAAATTAGAAATATACTGTTTTTATCTAAAAGAATATATTTCAATCATAAAATTTGAAAATTTAAAAAGCTTAATTAAATATTAATCAAGGAAAAAATTTAATTCATATAATCGGAAGAGAATATTGAGTGATTTCAAATATTTCTTTGATTAATAATGAATGTTGTGTATAAATATAAATAAAAACAGATATTTATAATACATGAATTTTTTTTATAAAAAATTAAGGTAATATATAACAAGCATATATTTTTGTGGATATACTTTGTTATTTATAAATAACTGATATTCAATTTAATTTTTGTAAGAACACAAACAATAAGGCGTGTGGATCGCTTGGTGACAAGAGTGATTGGAAGACTCTTGATATTCCTAGGCAACTAACTTAGATATTACATACCAAACAGAAGTCTTTAGACTCTAGATATGACACACATGAACACACTTTCAACTCGGCAAAGAAGAAAGACGAGAGAACAAGTTTGTAGATAAAAGATTGCCAGATTGATACGAGAGTTTTCGTAACATATAAAGGGATAGACTTGTACATGCACAAGCAAGAGGGGTAAAGAAAAAGTCTTTTCTTGAAATACACATTTGACTAGAGTTTTCAAATAAAAACATAACATAAAAACTTAGAGATAAAATATAATATATGGTTCTTTATTTGGTCTGACATCAACATAAGGTGGTCAAAGAAGTAAACTTGTGGCCTCATTAAAAACCTTATTCGGGACAAAACCAAACAAGGGAAAAAGAGTACACACAAGCTACTTGCCTAGATGCTGATCAGTTTGATGGTGGGGTAGCTTGAATGATGATTAAGGCATCTTGGTTGATCAAGCTTCGACCAAGACCTTCTTCTTGCTTCCCTGCTGTCTTGAGTAAACCTCCAATAGCTTCATTGAGTTTCTTTGTCCTTGAATGAGTCATGGGACCTTCAGGAACGGATAAGGCATCTTCATCAGCTAACTGGTCCATGATCACATCAGATGCACCATTGGACACTGGAGAAGAAGCTGGATAAATAAAAAGATACATCATTTTCTCAGTGAAACTAAGCCATATACACTTATAAGTTAAAGAGATTGGTTTCATATTCTGACCATCCACATGACTAGTCTTTGATGCAACAGAAACTCGGTTATAAGCACAATTAAGCCGCCATGACCTAGCAGTCTCATTAGGACCTTTAGCAAAACCATGCTTGATGAAGAGTACGCGGATTGAGATACAGCACTCATCACATATCCACCTGTCAGGTACAGTTTTAAAAAGCACCCTTGCGCAATAACTGAAACATTACAACAAAATAAATCAACGATCCTTGTTAATGAGTAAGTGGAAGAAGAGGAATCATTGAATCATATATGTACATATGCTCTCGTGTTTCTCTGCAGTTGTAGCAAGTCATTATCAAATGGTCATTTGCATCACTTCCGCATATTTCACAAGGCGTCTTCTCCTACAAACAATAACAAGAATAATCAAGAAACACATTTTCTATTCATCATTGTATGTATTTAACTCGGATTAATAGCTAATTTACCTTATAGTTGGTAACGCTGTCCTCTTCCGAAGAAGATGAATCACTTCTTTTGTACTCCATTAGTATCGATCATAGAGAAACTAGGTTTCAGTTTAAGGAGGAGATGATCGTTTACCAAGAACAGATTTTCTTTTCTTATAATTCTCTGGAGAACCTTTGATGTATTTATATAGGGAACCTCAGTTCAAATAAGTCAGCACAAGCTAGTAAATAATTTTGAATATATTCACCCAATTTAACTATCTTTCTATATCAATCCGAAAACACAAAGTCAAACATAAATTACAGAAATAAACTTAAGCGCGTTGATTAAAATTTCTTCTCATACAAAAAATGTATAAGAGAAAGGTATTAAATATGATATTATTCTCTTAGTTCAACATATGTTATGGCTTATACAAAAAGTTTTATAAGAGAAAGGTATTGAATTTAAGTGTCTTTATGTTTCAATATTTTTGACTATTAACACATTTTTTCAGATTCGTAATAAACTATTATTATCAATATGAAAACACAAATTCAAACATAAATTACAGAAATGAAATTTTCGGATTTGGATTAAACTATAATTATCAAGCGGAAAACACAAAGTCAAACAGAAATTACAGAAACAAATTTAAGCGCATTGATTAAATTTTCTTCTCACACAAAAATGTGCAAGAGAAATGTATTAAATATGATGATATCTCTTAGTTCAACATATGTTATGGTTTATACAAATATCTTTATAAGAGAAAGATATTAAATTTAAGTGTCTTTCTGTGTCAATAATTTTGACTATTACACATTTTTTTCGGATTCGGAATAAACTATTATAATCAATCTGAAAACACAAACTCAAACATAAATTACAGAAATGAAATTTTCGGATTTGGATTAAACTATAATTATCAATCAGAAAACACATAGTCAAACATAAATTACAGAAACAAGTTTAAGCGCATTGATTAAACTTTCTTCTCACACTAAAATGTACAAGAGATATGTATTAAATATGATGATATTCTCTTAGTTCAACATATGTTATGGTTTATACAAATATTTTTATAAGAGAAAGATATTAAATTTAAGTGTTTTTCTGTGTCAATAATTTTGAGTATTACACATTTTTTCGGATTCGAAATAAACTATGATTATCAATCTGGAAACACAAACTCAAACATAAATTACAGAAATGAATTTTTTGGATTCGGATTAAACTACTATTATCTATTGGAAAACACATAGTCAAACATAAATTACATAAACAAATTTAAACGCATCAATTATACTTTCTTTTCATACAAAAATTTGTATAAGAGAAATGTCTAAAGTATGATACTCTGTTCTCATACATGTTCATCCCCAAGCTCACCTTTTCATCATAAAGAATGGAATTGAGTTCTTATCTCTATTTTTAAGTTCACTTTGTCAACTAGTAGTTATTTTCAAGTCTTTACATCTGTTTTCTTAAGTTGTTATCTCATAATTTATTCTTAAATTTTGCTCAATTTTTTTTCATATTTTGCTTATGTTTTTATGCAAAAATATGCAAAAGTATTGAAATAATTTATATGTTCTTTTAGCCTTTTGTGATATATAACTTCTTATTGGAAACCTTCCTTATTTCCATTTTACATAACTATATCTTTTAATAATCAATATTTAAGATATAATCAATATCTCATTTTTGTCCCCTGTTTGTTTTTAATTTTGGCATTTTCACTTCTAGCAATATTGTAATTTACATTATATAATTAATTTGCATATAATTTATTTTTGCTACATATATAAACTCTCCAGTGTAACGATTAGGTTCTCAATTATATTTCATATGTCGTATATTATATTCTATGATCATGTAATATGTTTCAAATCACTATGAAATAAAATGTTAAAACTATGTAAAATTTGAAATGGATTTCTTTTAATATTCTGTGTACCAATTTATGATATTATATTTGGTATTGGTTGTTCTATTTGGATTTAAGTTTTTAAATCATCTAAGTTTGGATAATATAATGGGCAAAAAAGAAGTGAATAATTTGTCGTCAAAGAAACTCTATCATTTTTATTTTAAACAAACAACTTTAAATTAGTAGTCTTTCTCTTCAGAATCATTGTTTCACAGAGTATAGTAGCAAGGGAACACATAGGTAATTAGTTAGTTCTTGAAACATGAATTTTGAAGATTTAACAAGATTTGAATCTTGGAAACAATTAACAAGGCGGGATTGTATATTTTAATCTTGTTTAATTATAAATTTATCAAACTTTTTCAGAGTGATGCATAAGTTAAAATAAATTATCTGAAATTTAACATTTTCAGAATCATTGTTAAAAGTTTTATTAGGCATTAACTCAGGAAGTTGTATCTATAAAACTGTCGTCAAACCATATACTATTTTTTTTTTGTAATGAAGTAGCAAGTAAATGAGAATGTACAAGTGTACTGAAGCAGATGACTATCAAAGAAGTCTAATCTCACTAATCTACTAAGATCTAACTTGCGACCCAAGAAACACACTTTTTAAAAAGAAACCCTAAATCCAGATGTCTCTTAACAACCTCTAATTCCCCCCCCCCCACATCTCTCTGATCACAGAAGAAGTAAAAGAGAATGTACAAGAGTACTGAAGCAAATGAAATAACCATCAAACAAGTCTAGTGTAAGATCCCTTGTAGCCCAAGTAAAATCTTAAAACAGAAAAAAAAGAAACCCTAAAATCCAGATGTCTTTGATAACGGCTAAGCTCAGCTACACACAACTCTCCGAGAAAAGCATTTTACTTTGAAGATTCCGAATCAGAGAGAGTGTTGGACTCTTCTTGCTTCTTCTCCTGAGATGTGTCGGTGGACGCTGTAGTAGAAGCTGTGATAAATCAAAACATACATCAGTTTCTTGCTTCCATGAACTATACCATATACACTTATAAGCTAATGAGATTGGTCTCATTACCTTCTGCACTTGTATCTGCCTGTGGTTGTGAAGGTTGGTTAGTCACTGAAGTTTCATTATCAGGAGATGTGTTGATGGACGCTGTAGAAGAGACTGTGACAAATCAAAAGATATATCAGTTTCTCATGGTAAACAGAAACTAAACCATATTATATATACTTATAAGCTAACGAGATTGGTCTCGTTACCTTCTTGACTTGTAGTATGTGCCTCTGATTGTGAAGATTGATTAGTCGCTGAGGTTTCATTACCAGTTTCATTAGAATCTTCAGCATCATCTTCCGGCTTAACTTCGACAAAGCCAGGGAAGTTACGGCAAGCTTCACATAGCCACTTAGGAGGGATATAAGGCTTCGTGTTCTTCTTCGTTATCGTCATCGTCTTTACGTTTGCATACCTCACAAGGCTTCGTGTTCTTCTTCTACTCGTTAGTGAATAATAAGAACAAGAAGACTAATCAAGAAACGGTTTCAAGAATCAAGATGATCGTAAGTAGTGTGAATGTTACGTTGGTGATGAAGAATCAGCAATATTGGAAGATTGAACCGCGTCGAGATTGACAAATTGGGTAATATGGCATTTGAGTTAATGGTCGAATTATTACTCAATGGTTTACGGTTATTATCAACCGGTTATCAGTTATAACAACCCTATATCAAAGCAAGGCTCGTACACTAAGGAGGTTAGTTTACATTGCCAGGCCCCAGAGACTATCCACATTGGTGAACTTTGGGACATCAAATGAAAAGGTTGGTTAAGCCCGTCGGACTTGTTCAAGTTGGGCTAACTTGAACAAGTGACGCGCGTATGACTTATGGGCCTAGTTGACAAAGCCCATTAGGTCATGTTCTGATTATATCAGATGGAGAGGTCACGACAGAAGACCTAACACAAGATAGACACAAAGAAACACAGAGGAGAGGCACGGAAGAGTGGGAGCTCGTGAGAGAGCTTGAGACCAGGGTTTAGGTCTGCAGAGATAGAGCTAGAGAGAAGAAAGGTTCTCTGTATACTAGCTAAGCTCTTCCCTACATAATTGTATCTCTAGGTGATTTGTAACAGAGATCAAGAGAGGTTGACAAGATCTGTAACCTCTGGATATTGTACTCTTGTGTTTGATATAATGGAAGGTTGAGAGACCGATTTCTCTCTCCAGTGAGTAGCTCCTTTTTCACATCGAAGAAGGGAGGTGAACACTGGGTTAACAAAAGTGTCTTGTGTTCCTTCTTTACTTGCTTGATTCCTGTTCCGCGTACTTGATTAGTTGACTAAGTTTGCGATACAAACTACTGAGCTTCTAGTAAACAGACAAAATCTGAACAAGGGAATAAGAGCTTGTAGATTCCGCAACAAGCCTCTTTGGTTTATTCCCCAACAGTGAAAATGCTTAGCTTCTTTTTTACCTTATAGTTGGTAACGCTTTTCTCTGTAGAAGAAGAAGAAGAAGGTAGCGTTGTTTTTGATTCAGTCTCGGGCCCAGTACTTTCGCTGTTCTCCATTAGTATCGATGAGAGGGTCTTCAAATGGCGTCGAATGAGAAAAGAGGTTTCGGTTTAGGAAGAGAGGGAAGAAGATGATCGTTTTCTTGGGACGCAAGAAACAGCTTTTGTGTTCGTCTCTCTCTGAAGAGCGAAGACTTATTGTGACTTCTCTCGAACCCCAAACGTGAACCTCTTTGATGTATTTATATAGGGAAGCGAAGTTCGATATAGTGGTTTGTATATTGATAAGACGTTCCATCCAATGTCTTAATATATCTGTTGAATAATGTTTTGTACTAACAAAAATAAAGTAACAGCGTATTAATGTATTATTAGATGTGATTATACGTTTCTGCATTCTGTTACTATATGATTCGATCATGTGGAATTATACAAATGATTCACAAATAAACATGACTCTCTCAAAGAACTTAGGATCCGACTGGTTTCCCCGCTACCACCCGCAAACGCAGCTTTTGCGGTTGATGGCGGTTGCTAGCGTTTTGCAACAATCACAAAAACCGCTACAAATCGCTTCAAACTGCTCCCAACCTCTTGAAATCAAAAGCTGGTTTCAGCTAGCGTTTGCGTTTGCGGGCGATTGCGGGAGGGTAAAAAACTATTTTTCTTTTAAATTTAAATTTAAATTAAAATATAAAAATAGAAATAATATAACTAAAACTATATTACCTTTAATTTTTTAATTTAAATTCACTAAAAATATCATAATCTATTATAAAAACTTTAAATCAAGACATTTCACTATATTTTTCAATAT